CATTTTATTGACTACCTGCGCATCAACAGTTGATAAACTGCTTATCCTATCGCCAAACATGCTTCCAGCTGATGGAAGGGTAAAAGTGCTGTTTCCTTCAGATATTTGTGAGTTACCAACATCAGTAGTCTTATTTCTGCGAAGAACCAGGGACAAGAAACTTGTCTTGACAATTAATGTTTCTTCTCCTGCGGTCAAKCGTGAGAGYATCGAATGTGATACCCTTTTGACTAACGCTTCAGAATCTTTAGCAATGGAAATGCTCTGTGAAATAAGAAAAAAATCCAATGCACTTTCGGTATTCATGTACTGTCCATTCTACGCAGGTAAATTAACGATATTCAAGGGCGGATCCAGATGGGGTGATTTGGGTTGATAGCCACATCTGTTTTTAGTGCTCAAATATGTGATTTACCTGTGTTTTATTATTTGTTTGTATTTCACTGGATTTTTCCTCCTTTTCACTTAAAATACTTGCGTCTTTTGCAGCAGCATTCCAGATGTTTCCTATGCCATAAAGTAGATTTTGACCCCCTTTGTCCAGGTCATCAGATTTCTCATCATCAGTCTTTGACTGTGTGATTAGTACATCGGTTAAATCTGTAAAGATCTTCAAAGAAGAGCTCTGAAATGGATGAACATTACGTCATGTGATRGACCTCCTGCTCCCAGGAGACTGATTCTGGACGGGAGTCTTTCTGCGAGTATTGAAAGCCTTGGAAACTAGGTTTTGGAAGATGGTAACGGACTGAGAGACTATAACGGACTGAGTATTTTGTAATCATTGTTAGCAGTATGTTCACGAGACACTGGGCCGCTTGTTTCTTTATTCATTATTCAGAGACTCGTTGTTCATGTCTCTCCTTCTATTTTACTACAAATCTGTTCGGCTTATATGTGCTACGATCAAAAGACGTTTGGGTTTTACCTSAGGTATTGAAATTTACCCCACACGAATTTGCACCAGCACCCTAGTTGCAGATGGAGGGGCGAACCCGTCGCATGACTGCAAGCATTTTAAAGTGCGATGCATTCCTTTTAAYGAAGAAGCCCATGCAAATTAGTTTAAAGCGCAATCGAAAGAARTTGCAAGCAAACGCYATGCAAATCGACTGAATTAGCAGTTCTACCTGAGAATCCTGAGTTAAGAGACTATCATTTTTCGTTGCCGAGGAAACRACTGAGGTAACTTGCGTTAGTGTCTGGATGGTTTGAACTTTGATGTCTTTCATTTGATCTATAATGGATTCCACAATCTGTAGAAACATATTTTAATGGCATATTCTAAAAAGAACACTTTTTTGAAGATGAGGTCARTTGACTTTTTAAATAAAGAAAAAGAAAGAAKCCTTCCTACTCTACCTTTWGTTTCAAATCTCTTGACAACGCCTCCGTGTTGTCACCCGTCTGTTCTGGAGARWCTATAAGGTCCAAAGCACCGTTYGCTATTTGAGTAGCACTATCAATATCGCCAGTCCTCAACAGCTTTGCCAWGTCGCTCGATYTCCCAACWGTAAGGCTCTGCAAGGTGCTGTCTAGGGTGGAGTTCTCCTTGACTTTTATTGGCARGACCTTAAAATCAATAATRAAATATTCCTAATCAGATTTCTCAATTTCAATCTCGAGCATTTGTACGTGTCATCTTAGTAAGAGATTAACAAGAGCAAAAGTTTATATCAAATTACCACGAACCTTAGCTCGTATACTTGATGAATTTGAAGCCCCAAACGAATCCGAAATCAAGACCTCAATATCCATGTTGTAGTCTTGACTAGCGAGTCCTGCTGGGAGCTTAACTGTCGCTGATGATTCTGATCCGTGGTACAGTACTSCATAAGCACCGTCTGATTTTCGGAATCTAAACTGATAACGCAAAGGCGTTTCTCTGTCAACCCATCCGCTGCAATTCAACTTAAAATCTGTAACTAAAGATTCTCCTATTTGAGGAGAAGCAAAACACATYCCACCAAAYGGTGGGGAATTGGTAACAAAGATATATTCGTTTGACGTMTTTGCACKACCCGTAGTTGATACTTCGACATTAACACGGTATGTCATTCTTCCCTGAAGTTTATTTGGCCGAACGACAAACCCCGCCGGAGATGAAAGTCTAGTGCGCAGTAATTTCTGTAAGTTGTCTACTTCCATCCAGATTGTGCGATTTTGTGCATCTAGACCACTCTTTACATGAAGTGACCATATATAAAAAGTGTTGGTATTGCAACCACGCTGACAAGTGACTTCTAGGCTGAGTTTTGACGACGGGTTGACAGTTGAWCGGCAGTTGGCATTACATCTTCAGCAAAAAAAAAAAGTGTTAGAAAATTTGACTTTTTATCTAGACAGAGCGTGACAGAAATAAACAATTCTTCTTCTTATGTACTGATCTACAAAGAATCAAAGTTGCCTACCTTATCTGTGTGTTTGGTGGATCACCATTAACTATATTCACTATCTGACTTGCTTGGATTTTTCKATCACCTTTAATCAACAGCACAACAAACTCATAACTTTTCTGTACGCCAAGACGTCCACCTTCAATTGTTATCTTTTGCGGTGTTGACTGAGGCGGTAGTTTTCCAATACCTGTACCAAAACATCCAGTACCATYTCCAMGAATGAGTGAAATTACTGGCAATGCGTTTAGGTCTTTATTAGGCCACACTTCGCCAACCTTRCGACATAACCACGTGWACGATATCCCATCATTCTTATGGACCCCAGAAACATCCGGGTCATGCGAACTTGAAGCATCAAGAATGAAAGAATGTGTGAATCCTTTGGTGACAGCACTACCGCCCGCAATACTTGCGACCAGTGGCGAGGGATCCACATTAATAATACCATAGCTCCAAACTGTTTCTGTTGTGACACTCTTTCTCGTTACATAAAAAGAAATCATATGCAACCCGTAGTCTAACGAGTTTCCTCCTAAATATAACTGTGCTGTCTGGTTATTCAATGTCTTTTCAGTTCCATTGGCTTTTCCTTGGTTGTCTAACTTAGTTGAAGTCCATTTAAAACTATAAACTACATTTGAATCATCGCAATCTACTTCAGAAACTCTTCCTTTGATTGTGGATGATTGTGAACGTTGCATTCTAGTGGAAGTGTTAATGAACCTTCGAAGAGTTGGAATGGAAACTGTAGGCATGGGACATGATGGAACTGTGACTAAAATATCAGTATATAACAGATCAGGAATTAGGAATAATATAAGCATTTACTCAAGTGAGTAAAGAAAAAACAACAATAACGTATATGAACAAGCCAAGGCCTGTGTAATTTTGCAAAATATCTTGATAAATACCGTTTGTATTGCTTGAAATTTGTGCAGAGTTTGGATCCACTGTAAAGCTACCAACACTTCCATTTTGTACGGTACTTTTAAAGATGCTTTGGATGTCGTTTGACAAAAGTTTGGTAACGTCTGCTGATAGTTTGGCAATCACACTGCCTTTACTGCGAAAATTTAAATTAGTTTTCATTTATAATAGAAGAGAGTTTAATTATATGTGATGGTGGCAGTGGTGGTGCATGGCGGGGTRTGCGAGATTTCTTCCTGTTTTGGTTGTCTGCTGCTTCATTCGCTGCATTGTGATTACAATAATTGAGATTTAACCAAAAATCAGAAAGACATGACATCAAAGACTTACGCAAATCCTGTTACTTGCCAGTCTATTTTGATACCATGTTTGTCATACAACATCCTCATCTGATACACAAAGTTTTGGATATCAAAAAAATATGAATTATTTTCTTCAAAATCAATAAAAATAATGAAAAACAAGGCTGAGAGCCGTGAGAGGATCCATACTAAATGGGGATATAAATTTGAGTATCTATAATATAAATGAGTCATATACTTTATATCAAACAAAGTTGACAGTGAATTAAGGAGACAACCTACCGAATTGATAACTTCATCACTCAACTTCTTAAAGTCACGTGATCGTTTGCTAAGTAAAGACAAGCTGAAGGTAACAGAAGTGAGCTTGAACGAGCAGTAGATACTTGTCACCTCTTCCCTTGGTTCTAAAAATATGCATTATTTCAAGATTAAACATGACTAAAATTCTAATAAAGATTCTACAATGGAGCTTTTAAAATGACGGATTTTTCCAGATCATAAAATGTGAATAGAAATTAACGTAGCTGATAAACACCGTGATTTTAATTTTTGCTATCGATTCTGCGTACGTTTTCAATTTGATCTTAATCTAAGGACACTTACTTGGGTGCTCAGGACAACTCGTATCATTGGAAGCTAAAAAGAGATCATATCTTTTAAAAGGGTTATTTTTATGACATTACTTTCCGAAAATTGCATCGCAGCATGCAGAGCTTGCGCAAGTAGCTTTAATAAACAGGCTTCGTGCATAGCAAACTCCACTATGTAAAGCAAGACAACAGACTTGTATTTTTAAAATATTTAAGCTTACCATAATGCTGTTGAGAACTTATCAGATAGTCTGGATCCACACTTAAATTTCCTGGTAAGCTTCCGTTTCTAACAGACATACCGAGCAGGTTCCGTGCTTCCAAAGAATAGTCACCGCTCCATTGGCCGGTAAAGTTGACTTGAAGTCCAGACCTGTTCGAACTGAATGAAAGGTAAAGAAATTAATTAACCTTTGAAGAAGTTCGGAAGTCACTTGAAAAAATACTAACACAAGTTCCATCTTAAATGTTCCCTCGGACAGGGTCAAGTCTGATTAAATTTGTTTGTTTTTCCAAACAGAACAGTCAGAAGTACATAACCAGAAGTGTCCATCTCCCTATTAATATCGCCACCATCAGATGTCCCGATAATCTATTTTTAGACAACCAATCACAACGCGCGCACATATTACACGGCACCTGATTGGCCGGTCCTTGTTGATCTACTTCAAGAGCGGACAAGAAAAAGGAAAATGTAGTCGATAGAGGCAAACGAAATGAAGTTTACATTACGAGAATTTTACAGCTTTTGCTGAACAACCAATTCTGAATTTGATAGAAAACATTCTTTACTATATGAGCAATGTAGCGAAGGAAGTTCAAGAGCAATATACTCTGCGAAAACAAGGGAAAAGTTCAGACAAAGATGAAAAAGATGCAGACAAAAGGAGTGCGAAGAAATGTCTGCAAAAATGTGATTTTTGTGGCGAGAATTGTTCTCGTTTTAATAAGAAATCTGTTCTAATAGAATTAAAAACCCCTTAGACTATACATAGAATTGTAGTAAAGGTATTTTTTAGGATGTAAAAAGCTTTATAAAAAGGGGAAAACTAATACAAAACGATGCCCGAGTGCGAAAAATGTCACAAAAACTCAATCAAAAACTCTTTTAGCAAAATGATGATATTATATTGTGAACTCTTCGTTGTGTAAGGAGTTGAAAAAATGATTGTTCTTTGAAAGAAAAAGCGAGGAATAAACAAACTAGCGAATAGGTACAGAGGGTAATAA